AGGGCCATCCCTCCCGCACAATGTATGCGCAAGTCAATAGGGGGCGGGCTGACGGGGGGAAAGGGTACGGAGAGGGGGGCAGGAACAGGGACCCCCAGCCCTAACCGCGGGGCACGGAAAAGCCAAATTTTTACTCGTGTCCAAACTAAACGAGAAGGGGAGCCTGACCCGAGCGGAGCCCGGGAGAGCTGGCTGGGCGGGGCTGGGGCTGAGCGAACGGGACAGGACAGGCGGGTGGAATTTGAAGGAGGAAAAGATAAGCCTCTGGCACAGTCCAGCAGGAGGAGGAGGAGGGGCTCTTCCACGTCGTGCAGAGGAGGGGCACGGCGTGGCAGGCCGGGGCGTGGCGAGGCGGGGGGCGACGAGGGGAGGCAGGACGTCCCGCCGTCTCCGAGCCGAGAGAAGGGCGAGGGAGAGGAAGCCTTCCTCGGCCTGCCACGCAGCAAAGGGTCAGTATATTCTGTTTAAAAGGGCGAGGAGGCCCTCCTCCCCTGCCTCCCACCCACAGCGATACACAAACAACGGCGTGTCAGGAGGCCCCTCCTAAGAGCCCCCGCAGGCCCCCGCAGTAAGCCCACTCTCCTGCCACTCCCCTCGGCGAGGGGGCCCGGGGCTCGCGCCGCCGGGGGCATCTAGGCCCCTCCTCTCCGCAGTTCGGGTCGCAGCCCACGTCGTGAACGGCGTCGACGAGATGGTCCCGCCGTCCTCTGGGACACACTTTGGCCACTTTGCCCACGGGTCGGTCCGAGCGACCGACATCAAAAGGCCCCCTGCGGTACTCACGTGCGATGTCGGCGAAGAAGACCTCCCGCAGGGCGGCGAACTCCTCCTCGGGCGCCATGTGCGCGCTGCCGAACACCTCGTTCTCCGGCCACACCTCCCTGCGAAGACACGGGAGTCGTGGATTAGGCTGGCGGACGGACTGGAGAGGTCAGGTCACCGCGTCCAACGGTTCACTCACCGCGCTGCTCTCATCAAGCCGACGGCCTCCTCGAAGCTGTGCTGCTTGAGCAGCGTGTAGATGCGGCGCATGCAGTCCACCCTGCAACATAGACAGACACGGGGGGGTCCGTGAGTGTGGGGGTGGACGGTCGGGACCCACCACAGCTGTAGCCGAGGAGGACGCTCGCACCTCTGGTCGTCAATGTCCTTGTCGGACGCAGCGTCGAAAGGTATCATGTCGTCCGGGATGGTGCCGCCGGCCAGGACGACTGACAGCTGCGGCGCCACGACGTCCCACACCTCCTCGTTGGACTGGGTCGGCGGCGGGTTGTTCTTGGCCGCAGGAGTTGATTCTGTGGGGTCAGTGTCGTGGTAAATAAACAACCAGGACAAGGCCATTGCAGCGTGAAAGCTCACGCCGGAAACTTACTCTTGGCTTTCTTAGACCTCTTCTTCTTGCCCTTGTTTTGAACTACCATCCCATGCTGTTTTTTGCAAAAATGCTCCATCAACTTCATAAAGACATGCAAGGTCTCCACCAGATCTTTTAAGTAGTTCCTGGAAAGTTTGAAGCCAGTCATGGAGTTGCTGTCATGTGTTAAATTTCTACAAACCGACATTAGCTTACTTACCTTGACATTTTAGTTTCATCATAAGAGTGGATGAGAGTTAAAAGCAGCTCTCGATATTCAACCAAATAAAACAAATTTCCTTGAATAACCTGAGAAGAACTACGAATTTCTTTATCAGGGGAGGTCTCCATAGAAGCAAGATAGTTTAAAAGTTCTTGATATGCCCGCAGAGCAAGATGCATTCGCCGAGACCACACATACACTTTCTTTTTATCAGTGGCTATCATAGCATGAGAATGTTCAATCTGAGACTGAACCCAATGGAAACACTGAATGTTCATAGTCTCACTAACAAGTTTAACTTGCAATTTATAACTACGATTGAAGCCCATAAAAAATTTAATAGCCCATAGATAAAAAGATTCATCATTAGGTTGCGCCACCCCTCTGAGAAGGCAATCCTACAGATTTAAAAAGAAAGTTTAAGGTCAAAATATAACAGATAGATAGACACCAATCATCAAGAATAAGGAGAGAGGTTGTGCCTACCTTAACATAATGCATCAGTCTGTTGTATGAGCCATTCAAAAATTCCACACAGAACTCTTTCAGAAACAAACGGACACTGAAAGCAGACCTCCTCTTTTCTCCATCTCCTTGCATGGGGGCCTTGTTCTTGGGTCTCTTAGTTTTGGTCTGAAAATAACATCAAGTTAAGTTACCCTTTTCCATCAGCTAGATAACAACTTAAAATACAACTAATAAGATCATTAACAAATACCTTTTTCTCTGATAGGGATAAGTTGTCAACTTTACTAACAGGTTTGTATAAGATCAAGTCATTGTCACTTATTGACTTGACGTTGTTCAAGACAAATGTGCCACCAAATCTTGAATGCCTATAATTTTACGGAAGCAAAAGCATTTAATGGTATAAATATTACAAAGGTATAAATTAATTATGTATGATCGGAAAGTACTGTGAAAACAAACCTGGATCCGGTGTACTGTTTTGTTTTAGCTTGACGTATTTCCTGCTCTTTCATTCTCACTTGCAGGAGAGCCATTTCATCTTTTTCCTTTTCCTGGGTACTCCTCTCCATTGCAACATTTGAGAGCTCATTTGGTTCTTGATCTCTAAGCATCAAAGAAATTATCTCCAAATTGTGCATGAAATACGCCTGTTCATTGTGTGTGCTGGTCATGTACAGAATCAAATCAACCAATCCTGACTGGTGCAATGCCCAAAGAACCTGTTAAACAATATTCAATAGAAATAGATAATATGAAATCTTAAACCACACACAAAAGTTGATGGATAATTGGGAAATTACGAAAGTCACCAACCTGATCGTGCACACTAGCATCGTTGTCAGGCCTACGTTCTGCATTAGGATCAGCAGGTACTTGAAGAACATTTCGAATCAACACAAGAATTCTTTCAAGTACCATAGACTTTTCCTCAGCTCGCTCGTCAGAATCCTAAAACATTTTGTTAAAATGTGTTGAATATATCAAATGTGCCCAAAGTAAAACAAACTATTGAACAGCTAAATTTGAAGTTCACTTTAAAAACAAAAAAAGAGTTCTTTCATCCTATTAAGTATGCACTTACTATTTGCAAAATTTCACCTAATTTCTTTGATAGGATAGCCCAAATGCCCTCTTCATTAAAAGCCTCTTTGTAACTTTGGAGCTGTGTAATAATTTGCAAATAATAATTGCGTGAAGTTTTCTCTGCAGGAAGCTCTTCCCGGTACAGCAGGAGTGCAGGATTGGTCAAATTCACCAAGAGTCTAAATATAAAAATATTACAAAGATTTAGGATAGATGACAATATAATTAGCATGCCTGAAAATTGAACATCAACACCAACCTCAAAGTAACATCAAAAAGATCTTCATCTTCATTGTAGTGTTTGATAATTGGAAGCAGATCAGTAACTAAGACTTTTGCTTCACCCAGAAACCTGCGTATTTCATGATTTTCATCATCATGGCGTAAATAGCGAATGAGATCTTTCACAGTTTCTGAAAAGAGGGTAATGTTTTATTTATCAAGAGAGAAAATATTTTATTAAATATACCCCTGTCAAGATATTGACATTTTTCTTCCACATACCTTTACAGTACTTATCTATGTAGTATTTATTCCCATCAGAATAACCCAACGCACTGCAAGTAGCAGCAAGCTCAGCAGAGAGCACAGAGGAAACCATTCTGCTGAATAAACAAAACGTAAAGCCAATAGATCATTAATTTTATATTTTATTCATTTATTCATTCATGTAATGAGCTTTACACAATGATTGGCGAGGTTAACCATCTGCCCATTCATTGCTAAGTTTTCGATTATCCGATGACAACATCACATGGCTCACCTACAACTCGGGCGAAAAGTTACAGTGTTTGTAGTTCCTTTGGAAATACTGTTCAAATAACGCAAACTCTAACGCAAGAGGACAATTATTTCTCCATTCTTAAGGCACGGCCGGTGGACCAGGGCCCTGAAAAGACAGCTGATATTTTGGCGCGCACGAGGACTTGTTGATGAGCGTGAGACAACTTATGAAAGCAAACTATTTTCTTAAACCAACCAAATCGCGATATTAAAAGTCTATGAGCTTTAAAACTGTGAACCATTATCTTTAATTTAGTCTAAATATGTTGTTACAGATCAAAAATGGACAAAAAAAAATAAAAATGAGTTTTCTTTTTAAGTTGAACTAATGGCTAGATTGGCCACTGCCTTACAAATTTTCATGTCAAAACTCACCGACATAACACCGAATGTATTTAAAGAAGGCAGTTTCACATTGTTCAGGTTCAGTTGGCGGTAAATCTTAGTGTCAAATTCTCTATTATTTGTATTCATTTTTAAAGACATCTTAATTTTGAAAAAATGCCATCTCTTTTGGAATCTTGTGAAAAATTCTTTGAAACCAAAGATTTGTACGAGGTGCTTAATATCAAGAAAGATGCCTCAGACAAGCAAGGTACGAGGGATCAGATTCAGGGTTTTACACATAGTTTGAACTATTCACCCTCCATCATTCAAAGCTCTATTTCTATTTATTCTGTACCTTGTTATTTCACCATATCTTTAAGTTTTACCTAAACTTCAATACTGTCCTTTGTCTTCTTGGCATTCCCTTTCCTCTGTGACAACACAAGGCCTGAAAACGAGACTGGCATTCCTTACATTTTGTTATTCATTGTCTATACTTCTTAATATCTCTTCATGTTCATGTTGATTAGCGTGATAACGTCTCATGGTTTTTTGAAATATTAATATATTGTCTGTTTTTATAGCTAGTATTATTTATATTTTTGTTATTTTCCATTTTGCAGTTCGTAAAGCCTATCACAAGCTATCCCTGATCGTTCATCCTGACAGAGTTGACGAAAACAAGAAGCTTGAAGCTACAGAAAAATTCAAAGTACTGAGTCATGTTCATTCAATTTTAAGTGATAGTGAAAAAAGGAAAATTTATGATGAGACAGGTGCGTCTTTTTATTTGTTATGAACTCTTAAATTTTTTGTACTCAGTGAAATTTTCTCATGACCATGATTATTGCAGGTGATTGTGGGGAAGACAGTGATGAACCAAGTGACCGAGATTGGAGTGCATACTGGAGGTCATGTTTCAAAGAAATCACGGTTGAAGACATTAATAATTATGAGAAAAAGTACAAAGGTCAGCTGAATCTTTGATCACATCTTAACTTTTTAGCAATCTTTCTGTTTTATAACAGTTTGGCTTCACAAGGCTTGACTTTGTACTGTATATATGAAACTATTTCTGATATGTTTGGCGTCTTGCGTATTACCTGCAGGTTCAGCGGAAGAATTGGAAGATTTAAAGAAAGCATACCTGCATGGAAAAGGGAGTATGGATTGGATCCTGGAAGCTGTACCTTTTACCAACACAGATGAGGAAGATCGTTTGAGAGAACTCCTGAAACCTTTCATGGACAGTGGAGAAATTCCTGTTTACAAGAGATTTACTAATGAAAATCCTAAAAAGACGGCTGCAAGGAAACGAAAGGTATTTTAAAACACTTTCCTCCACTATTGTTTATTTATCTTATCATTGTAGATGTTTTAGTTTGTAATACAACTCTTGCATATGCCCAGTATGAGAGAGAAGCAAAAGAAGCAGAAGAACTAGCCGCTGAGTATGGTTTGGATAAAAACAAGAAGTCTGAAGATGATGGTGATGGCAGCCTGATGGCCATTATCAAAGCACGTCAAGGCCAAAGGCTCATTGATGGAGAGAATTTCCTAGACCGCCTAGCAGAAAAATATGCTGCAAAGGTAGCTAAAGGAAGTAAAAAGAAAACAGGATCTAAAAGCAAGAAATGAGTGTACTGTTCCTATTCTTGAATGAATGTTTGATTTTCTGTCTATGCGAAATAAGTACAAAATCTGTAGTTTTCTCAGAATTTGTACTTAAACTATCTTAAGGTTATCTTTAATATTTTTTTTACCTATTGTAAGTGATGATTTGTAAGTTGTATTCTGTTGTTTTTATTTTTAGTTCTTATATAAGGCTTGCAATAATAATGTAAAAATATTTTAATGAGATTTCTCTTGTAGCTGAAAAGAAACCTGTTGACTCTTTAAGGATTTCTCTCAAGGGAATTTCTGGAAGGAAAATGCCGTTATAAGAGGCAGGCATTAATTGTATTTCAGTCTATTGATGGGAGACAAAGATTCTGGGAAAGTGCTTGGTAGATTTCATGGAGGGGTATAAAACTTTAGGACAATATAAGAACCGTACACCCAGGCACTGGGGAAAACACTTTTCTTCTTTTTTTTTTTCTTTTTATGGTAAAGGTATAACTAAATATCAGAGTACCCTGATTACATGCTTGTGTGGATCACACTGTGCATTTGTCCTACTGAGAAGCAAATGCTGATGAATTGACTAGTACAGTATTATTTCTCTTCAAGTATTATTTGAAGTTGACATTTATTGCTTTACTTATTGAAGTAGTATTACTTTCTCTACAATATTGAATGTCCCTCAAAGAAACAATTCCAATCGATGGTCAAATACCATGATATTACCTCTTTAATAGATTGTCAACAAGGCAGCCTCATTATCGTAATAATATTGTTTCCCTCCCAAAGCTTGCTGGCTCTTATCAAGTAAACAATCCATATAAAACCATTCATTTGTCCTAATGATAGGTGTGGTACTAGTACCACTCTAAATATATACATATATATATAATCAATCTGGGATCACAAACACTTATTCCTAGGTTTAAAAAAAAATCACAGGACTTCATCTTACATCAAGCAGAGTACAAAAAATTAATCTAGATATTGCTGCAAAAGAGCCTGCAGTATTACCACATTCCAATACTGTTAGTTGTGCATAATGTATCCAAAGCTCTTTCTAGTACTAATGTTTTCAACGTCAAGTTTTTCTTATGAAACTGAGGAATAAATATAGAACACTGTAAATGATTCAAAATGACTAGACGTAGTAGGTACTGACTAGATAGTAACTCGAGACAGTTGGGACTAGATGATAGAGGTCAATTCACACAACTGGGAGTTACAAGGGAATCACCACACTGCAAACCAGGGAGAAAACCAAGAACAAGTTTATTGAATCAAGCAGACTGTTGATGCTCCATCTCTTTTATCCATAGCTGCTGCTCTGCGTTTAATCCCCTCCAAATAGACTTCTCTATTGAAGGAGCCAGCAGCAAGTGGAATCCTGAAAGTAGAGGAATTGGTTGATTCCAGTGTTGAGGAATTCAGGTATATTTATGGACACAGTTTGATGAATGAAAGATGTGTCAGTTTAGTGAAATTGGTTCAGGATAATACTCACGTATCAATTCCAGGTCTCACATGGCTGCTGAAAAGTCCCCACACTGGCTTATGGTCTGATGTGCAAACTGATTGCACAGAACTGTACTTCTGGCACACCAGAAAAGGGGCACCAGATGGAGTGGTAATGGGCAGAGATCCTCCGAGTAAACTGCTTGCTCGGCGAGGTGCTTGTCGGCACTGTAGAAGAAGTCACAATACAGTATTTACTATCATATGAACAATCCCCACAAAATTTCGTAGCACATCAGGTTTTGATTACTTTGAATAGAATTCTGTCCGTATAGGAAGGAGTTCGCTGCTTTTGAGATGTGTCAAACATCTGCGTTCCAGGATCATATTTGTAGGTGGGCTTAAAGGTGATGGGTCCTTCTTCAAACCCTCGAAATACCATACCTAAAAAGATGTTTTATTTTAGCAATTGAAAAACAAAAACAAAATTGTAATTTTTTTCTAATTCTTCTTACCTTGAAGTATGCTGTTAGTCAGTTGATCCATTTCCATTTTATATGGTGCAGGTAATGGAAATTGTTGTTTTGCCACCCAGTCAACTACTTCCGCCCTAGGCTGGGAAAGTCGAAAATTTAAATCCCCACACCAGAAGACACAGTCAAAGTTTTGAGTGACATCTGAGGAAAGAATCAAAAATGTCACAATGAAACCAACCATGCAATCCAATCAGAGCAGGAGTGTAAATCTTGTGTCCTGACCAACCTTTATTTTTGTGTCTGCAGGGCAGGTTTTTTGGCAAATCAAGTGATCGAACTATTTTCTTCACATCACTAAGACGTTCTTTCACTTTTTCTGCATGTGCTGTGAGATGAGAAGTAATGAACAAAAAAGATGTTCCAAAGAGCATAACGGCTATAGCTACAGCGCCTTTAGTACGAAAGGCTGTTCCTGGACGAACACTAAAGCTTGCTTCTTCAGGAACTGTAAATTTAAATACATGTAAGTTTTAATTATTATTTAACATTGATAAAATCCATGAGACCCATCATAAACAGTACCTGAACAAAACCAAATCAGATCCCTCCTAACATAGAGGGCCAAATGTAAAGTGCCTAAGGCAGCTGAATGCAGTAACACATGTGATGGTCCAATCGTTTCTTGAATTCCTACCTCCCACTCAAATCTTTCTGGGTAGCTTTCTTGGGTGCCAAATACCATAAAGTCTGGCACATGTTCCAGCTCCTCAGGCAGGAGTAAGTCATTAAGCTCAGAAGGTGGTGCCTGGATTTAAGATGGCGATTAGTGTTCCCTCTACACATCAACTTAAAAAAATGATAATTAATGTGATCATCACCTGGCCATTCATGTTCCATGTTCCAACAAAAATTTGAACAGTTCGGGAAGGTAAAACTCGCTCTAACTCTAATGTTCCTAACAATGAGTTTGCAGCAATTCTCCCATGAAGATAGTTCCTGAAATTTTAATATTATGTTTTTGAAAAGTTTAAATTGGTTTTTATT